GGGGTTACCATTGACCAGAAACTAAAGTGGGCTCATTGTAAAAGTACTGTGGCTAAAGGAGCAGCTCAAACACTAGGAATCCTGTAGCTAAAAAGTTACCTCCCAACACCCCAAAAACCTATCTACCATCTATAAGACACAATTCAGGAGGGTGATGGAATACTCCCAACTTCCCTGGATGAACACAGCTCCAAAAACGCTCAAAAACGCCACATTTCTGAGCATTTGGTCCTTCCACAATGAATGCCCAGAAACAGCTGTGTGTACCCTCGACAGGATGCACTGCTGAATGCTCCTTAGGCGGCACTTTCCAAACCCACAATTTCTACCACTGGAAGTCAAGGGCAGCAGATACATGGGAATATCACTACCTGAGAGTTCCCTCCAGGTCACACACCATTCTGACTTACAATTATATCACTTTTCGTTCAATGTCACTGCATCAAAATCCTGGAACTCCTTCCTTATTGGCATTATGGGTATAGCTACACCAAATGGACTGAAGTGTTTCAGGAAACCAGCTCACCACCATCGTCTTAAGTGCAACAAAGGATAGGCTATAAATGTTTGCCCTGCCTGCAACACTCAAATCAGTGAATAATAAAGAAAAAAAATCACTGTCCTCCATTTTCTGTGGCTCCCCTTCTCAGCCAACTGAGTTTTCCATTTCTACTCACCTCTTCCAGTGCCTTTCCAAACAATCAACCTCTCGATATAGCTGTCAGTGATTACATTCCAATTGTAAATCTTGCTTGCAGATGACCTTGTAGCGGAAGTATGAATGCCCAGGAAGTTGCAATCGTGTGGCCAGTTCACTTTGCAGAATGTCTTTGTGTATATGTTCTTTATCGCTATGTTGAATGTAGTTGAGCCAGTATGGGCACCACTGGCTTAACACTGAGCAGAAGCTAATGGAATTGATACCTTTTGTGACCTTTCAGCCAGTGACCTAGTCCTGTCAAGAGATACCAAGTATTTGTCTGAGACAGCAAAGGTGGAAACTGTTCAAACTATTCTCATGCTTAGTCCAGGAGAAGAGTGCACTGAGGACGCAGGCATGGTAGATATGCAGTTTGGTGTTCTGAGGTCACTGTTTTCTACATTCTCCTATCCAGCTTGGACATAGCATCCACAGCTTTTGCAATCTGTGCATTGGTTTCAGAATCAAATAGCAGATTGCTGGTAATTGTGGGAGTCTAGATGTATGAAGTTGTTGAAAATCTCCAGCATCACATTGATAATGCAGATAGACGCTGGTGTGGTAACATCCTGAACAATGCCATTTGTCTTCCTGATGTTGATAGTCAAATGAAACTTTACAGCTGTGAGAGAATCCATATGTTTCTCACTGTGTGTGGAATGTTACTGTGGCATCATCAGTGCTGAGAACTTGACAATGTCTGAATGCAATCTTCTTTAACATCATTAAGGACATCAAAAAATGGGTATGCTACCAGAGTAAGTGTGCCTCCTTGTGGCATATATACTTGCTGTACAGCTGCTGTAAGTAGCTCAACATTATAATTTCCCAACAGTAATTGCTCTTTAAGATTTCATTAGCCTTTAGGAAACTGATAAGCAATCAGAGTACATCCACAGAGTACAAGTATTGTCTTTAGCCTCTTCTCTTAAAGGAGAAAGCAAAGACACAAACAACGGAGACAAGACCAGGAACATCCATGGTCTGCCTGAATCATGATTGACAGCTCCAGATCAGACAGAAATGATTACAGATTGATCTCCTTTCAAAATGTTTCCTGGGAGTTTCATTGTTCAATCTCAATCTAAAAAATATGTTTTAAACATAATGGCACAGGAAGACATAAGGTTTCTGAACAAAAGGTGTTTGGCTCACACAAGAATTGTGATGACATATTTGTGGTTATCCTATTGAGTCGCCACCAGGAAATGTGGGAACAGGGCTATTGCCCAAGGAATATCTGAATTCAATTAA